TTTCACAACAGGCAAATGAACTTGCCATCAGTTATATACCAAACAAGGGAGATGTAGCCAATACTAGCTCCCAGAAGAATATTCTCCTGCTTTTAGAACATAATCTCATATATCTAAATCACACACATGTCCTTAAATCCATTGCACTAACACTGTTTACAGATTTAGTTATGGAAACTGTCAAGGGCTGCATTCTTCCTAAGAGCCTGCTTGACAACTGAGATAATTATTTGAAGTCCTCATGCCTTTAAAGATTAGGCTGGTAGTCAGTAGAGAGAAGGTGTTTTCTGCCCTCCCCTCTCCAACATACTCAATATGCTCTTTTGAGCTATTAATGTTCTTGTATTTTCACTAATAAATGCTGGAGTTGCAGTGGCACAATGGTTTAACCCTTGTGCTGGCTGAACTGCTGACCTGAAGGCCGGCAGTTCGAATCCACAAGATGGGGTGAGCTCCTGTCTGTCAGCTCCAGCTTCCCATGCGAGGACATGAGAGAAGCTTCCCACTGGATGTTAAAACATCCGGGTGTCCCCTAGGCAGCGTCTCTGCAGAGAGCCAATTCTCTGACACCAGAAGTGACTTGCACTTTCTTAAGTTGTTTTTGACATGATTAAAAAGACCTAATAAATGCTAAGAGCTCAAAATCAAACATACTGTATATACTTGTGCATGACTTTAAAACATTACCAAAAAAATCAACCCTCAAAACTTGTGTTGACTTATCCACTGGTCAATGCTGGAAATGCACTGGCTCCCCACCATTTTGGATGCTTGAAGTAAAGTGAAGTTGGCTGTTTTTAATAGAGGCTTATTGTAAAGCCTTGTGAGTCCTAACAGTTTCTCTGTAAGCTCACAAGACTTGCATAGAGACTACAGTAATCCACTGTTTAAAACAGCCACTGCCATTCTGCTCCACCTCATGTTCCCAAAAATGGCAGCTGTACTACATTCTTCAGGCTCCACCAAGTTGCTACTCAATGCAGTTCATGTCAAAAAGAAGGCGAGGAAAGTGAAAAGAGATACCTTTTTAAAGGTTTGGGTCATGGAGGAGTAATAGGGCGGGAGTGCTGCTTCCACATCTCGCCACCACAAGCTGGGCCTCTCACCACTGCCTCCTGCCATTGTCTTTGCACTCGGTCCTTAATACAAAAAATCTGCTTTCCTTTGCTTTTCTCTCCACTTTTCTCAGTAGCATTTTCATGCTTTCCCCTCATTTATAAGCCTCTCCCAATCTGTATTCATACAGATATTGACATTTTAAGATTAGCAATGTAATATACAGTCCCAAATTATAAAACGAAACAAAAAAAGCACCCTTGCCTTCTCTTTAGCTTCAAGTATGTCACCTCGATGCATTTTTAAAAGAATATGACAAGTCACTTGTGGGCATTTACACAAAAAGGCAGGCTATCCATTCAATGAATACAAATTAAAATTCAACTAGGCCTTTGTAGACTCCCCTATCTGCTCTAAATTCCTAAAAGAGTTGATTATTTACTTAATTATTTAAAATATATTATTTTCAAGACACTTGTAAGGCTTACATTATTTATTTTCATTTCTTCTTCATACCATTCCATTTTTTAAAATAAAAGTTTCCATCAAATGCCAGGAAAGAAGAAATAGAAATAGGAACACAAAAAGGACAAGTGCCAACTCTAATGAACCCTTCCCAACTTGTGGTGCCTGGCCTTTTATTTTCCATACCCCTTGCTTTCAATCTCTCACTTCTTCCCTCCCTTGAGATTCTTGTCTTTATTCCTGACTTCTCAGATCCTGCTCTTTTACACGTTTGTGTTCCTAGAATATAATTGTGCTGCCCGCTGCTCAGCTCCGCATGCCCATGTTTTCCTTGATCCTCTGCTTCCATTCGGTTAAAGCATGGCAGTTTTCACTATTTCTGTCATTCAGCACAAGACAAAACAAGGTTATTCTGCTGAGAAGCTGTGCCGGGGGTGTTTAAGGTTTCTTTCCCAGCAGAGGGATAGCTTGCAGTTTCTTTCCTTGCAGACTCTCCAGATCAATTGGTTATTTCTTCTCTGATTTGAATGGAGCAGCTCATGAGAACAAGTGCAACAAACAATGGCCGGCCTCAACTAAAACATATCATAGAATCACAGAATAATGGAATTGGAAGAAATCACACGGGCAGTCTAGTCCAACCCCTTGCCATGCAGGAAAAGCACAGTCCAAGCACCCAACCGACGGCCATCTGGCTTCTGCTTAAAAGCCACCAAGGAAGCAGCTTCCACCACACTGCAAGGCAAAGAGTTCCACTGCTAAACCGCTCTTACAATCAGGAAATTCTTCCTAATGTTAGGGTGGAATCTACTTTCCTATAATTTGCAACCATTCCTCTGAGTCAAGGTTTCCAGGGCAGCAGAAAACAAGCCTGCTCCCTCTTCCTTATGACATCCTTTAAAAAATACTTAAATATGGCTATCATGTCTCCTCTCAACCTTCTCTTCTGCAGACTGAACATACCCAGCTCTTTAAGCTGTTCCTCATATGGTTTGTACTCCAGACCCTTGATCATTTTAGTTGCCCTCCTCTGGAGATGTTTCAGCTTGTCAATATCCCTCTTGAATTGTGGTACCCAGAATTAGACACAGTATTCCATGTGAGGTCTGATCAAAGCAGAACAGAGGGGCATGACTTCCCTTGATCTAGACACTATACTCCTTTTGATGCAGCTCAAAATCCCATTGGCTTTCTAAACTGCTGCATCACAATGTTGGCTGATCTTCAACTTTTTCTCAATGAAGACTCCAAGATCTTTTTCACATGGACTGTTGTAAAGCCAAGCATCACCCATATGGTATCTATACATTTTTTTCTGCCTAAGTGAGGTATCCTATTCTTCTCCTTGTTTGTTGAAATTCATTTTGAATTCTGTTGAGGTCAATATTGAATTCTGATCCTGTCTTCTGGAGTGTTAGCTATCCCTTCTAATTTGGTGTCATGTGCAAACTTGATAAGCACACCCTATAAACCTTAATCCAAGACATTAAGAAAGATGTTGAATAGAACCTGGCTCAGGACTGAACCCTGTGGCACTCCACTAGTTACTTCTTTCTAGGAGGAAAACAAACCATTGGTGAGCACCCTTTGGTTTTGATCGCTTAACCAATTACAGACCAACCTAACAGTAGTATTATCTAGCTCAGTGGTTGTCAATCTGTGGGTCCCCAGATATTTTGGGCTTCAACTTCCAGAAATCCTAACAGCTGGTAAACTTGCTGGGATTTCTGGAAGTTGTAGGCCTAAACACCTGGGGACCCACAGGTTGAGAACCACTGGTCTAGCCCATATTTTACTAGTTTGTTATCAAGAAGGTAATGGGGGACCTTGTCAAAGGGCTTACTGCAATTAAGATATGTGACATCCACAGCATTCCCTGCATCTACCAAGCTTGTAGCTCTATCAAAAAAAGAGATAAGATCAGTCTGGCATTATTCGTTTTTTATACATCCATGTTGAATTCAGTCCAGTACACTGGATTTACCAAATCAATAACGGTCCTGCATTTACCACACTTTCTCCTTCCCAATTGTTCATCTAATTTGTAAACAGCATCAAAACTATGTTTTATCATTTTAGACATCAGAGGGAAGTGATGAACTATGGCATCTGAAGCTGGGTGTACACAGTAAGAAGGGGGCACATGGCTCACTGCTTATCGGACCACAATTTACTGCACTGAAACTGGATCTTCATCAGAGCTATCAGGAAGTATACAAAAGGATTTTCAACAAATCTTATTGAATTGTTTTGATTTACTGAATATTTTAAAAGATTATCAATAAGAGTCAGCAGAGATGGCTTAACAGTTTTTAGCTTAAGAAAAGGTTGAAGCATGATTTGCAATGAATTTAAATTACATTTCTCCTGTAGTTCATGTAAGATAATCAATGGTATACTTTGTTTAACTATTGCTGATTTTTAAAATTATGCTCCATGTGTTTCCACACCAACAGAAAATGCATCCTTGTGCTCTCATCACCTGACCTATTTTATTTCTGCTAGTCTCGCTGAGAATATAACTCGATCAATACAATTACAACTATTAAGAAAGCTATCAACTAGACTTCTGACTGGAAAAACAAAATTCATAGCAAAATTAACAGTCATAAGCAAAATCCCAATTATTTCTTAAAGTTATTAAAATCAGATTGCTAGTCCCTAATAAAATTGATTCACCAAAGGGCACATCAACATTTTAGCAACTCCAAGTTACTCAATACGTCTGCTCCAATTGGGATAAGCAATTGGATTCAAGATTTTTAAAATCTGAAGACTAAATACTGGTAGACACCAATATCAAGTGACATGCAGTTTCTCACATCACTTATGACATGATAAAAAAAAGCCCAACATCAATGAGACCAGTATTTCTTTATATTGCACCGAAAGGAAAAGTGACAGGATAGAATTCAGCATAAGCAACACAACTGTAAGATATGTTTTCATAAGAAACAGTATGGGATGGAAACAATTCACCCATGGAAAGACAAGTATCTGGCTTGAGAGGACGTACAGTTCCAGCAAAATTCTGGTAAAAGTAGTAACAGAAAGAAATGTAGATTAGCCAAAACTACTGCCTATATTAATATATAAGTCTAGAAAAGCCCAGGCTGACTAATGCATGAGTCAACTTAAGTGCTTTAACTTTTATCATAAAACGAACCATCTATGAGTAGAACAGTGAAAGGTGAGAGCTTAGACTGTCCCAGGACTATTTAAAAAAATCACTAACCTGCTCTTTTTTTCTGATGCATCACCTCGTTTGGTCTTTTTGAAGGCTTGGGTCAGGCATTTGCAATGGCGGTGGCCAGAGACAGCTGGATCCCTGAAGCAGTGCTGGCCATTTCTCCTCTCTATAGAATGGTTTCGGCTTATCCATAGATCACATCAAAAGCCATAATTTTGACCCCATAACCTCAACTTTTATATGAAGTCAACTTATATATGAGTATATATATATTGCAAAATACACTTACCTTTTCTCTGAATAAAGATCCTAAGCAAAGGATTTGCTGTAGACACTGCTTTGTGATAATTGTCATCATTGTTGATCGGCAAGAGATCCCCATGAATGTCTATATATCCAACTAAGACGTCCACATTAGGTATTTTGTGAACATGTTGCAGTAATCCATAGAATTCGTCAAATTTGCCAGGTTTGGACCTTTCCAAAGAAAATCGTCTATATTCTGCACCGAACTATAAATAAAACAAAAAAAATATTATTTAATAATGTGATAGACATGATTTAAATTAAAAAGATAAAATCCACTTGATTTTCACACCACATCATTTGAATAGTGAATATAAGGCCAAGCAGTGAGTTGTATAGATAAATCTGGGTCTTCCTAATGTAACCACACACACACACACACACACACACAGGTCCACTAAATCAATAGGTAAGTTTTGAATTACTATCCAACAACTTATTCATTTATTCTAATTTGTCTGAGATAATAACATTCAAGACTTGGTAGAAACTGTAAAAAAAAAACTGTGAAAATGTAGCCTTAACAAAAGTGTGTTTTGCACTATACATGCTGTCAGACTTGGTCCATATGCCACCCACATTTCAAATTTGATGACTATCAAGATAGATATGTGGGTGGCATATTTGTACATAAAGCAATACCAATAACACGATTTTCCCCCTTTCTGTCAAGCCAAAGGGAATAATTGCACATTTACACAAAACCCCTAACTAGTACGCAACATAGTCTATGGCACAGCAACACCTATCCCTAGGACATAATCTATCACATATATTTCTGAACTAGAAATTAGAACTGATGTTACTCAACACAATTTCATTTCATACCTTGACCAGGGAAATAAACACCTTGCTCCTTGAGACAGCTATTTAACCATGCGAACATAGCTTTGAGGTTGCAAAAAATTAATGCATTAAAACTCACATTAGCATAGTTCATGCCCTCCCAGGAGCTATCCCCGGAGCCTTCCCTCCTCACATTTTTGCAAGTATTTGTGAATAGCTCATGTGAATCTGTACCATGTGGTGGTAAGCAACACCATGTTCATGCATTTCCAAAAAAATACATTTCATAATTAGATAACTACAGCCCTCCTCCAAAAATATAGGATTAGTGAACAAAATTTGCTGGTCACGGGATGTGGTTCCCAATTTGATTTGCATTCCACCCAACCTACATTCAGTTGTAAGTATTAGCTACATTAGATCCACTCAGGGCCCTTACACACAGCCATATAACCCAGAATGTCAAGGCAGAAAATCCCACAATATCTGTTTTGAACTGGGTTATCTGAGTCCACGCTGCCATATGTTCCAGTTCAATGCAGAAAATGTGGGATTTTATTTGGCTGTGTGGATGGGGCCTTAATCATGGGAATGCAGAACATCAACCTCAAACCCATTTTTTTTAGCTACAGCCCCTAAGTGCAACTATTTCCAATTTGGTAGAGAACCAGTGTGGTGAAGTCATTTGAATGTTGAACTCTGGAGACAAGTGTTTGAATCCCTGCTCAGCCTTGGAGACCCACTTAGCCAAGTTCTTCTCAGTCTCTGAGGAAGCCAACCCCCCCCCCCCTCTGAGCATGATAGGGTCACCTTGGAGTTACCTAGAGTTGAAAGCACGCAACAACAACAACAACAACAACAACAACAACAACGGAGCTAGAAGAGCAAGAAACATCCAGCTTTTTCCTGCAGCTTGATACAAAACAATGATGTAATCTGCAGGAGTTATAGAAACTAGTGAATTCTTGTCTACTTCTCCCCTCAACTTTCCACAAGAAATTGTCAGGTTCAGAGTCCTGTAGCTGAGAAAGGTTAGTTGAGGACATTGAAAGGGAAGGTGTCACAGGTACATCTCCCTATGCCGGATCACAGTTGTTTAAATACAGCATTTACGGGGGAAAGGACACGTGTTATTATTTCAAGTCTACCTTTGATATTATCAAGCTTTGCAGATGTTGAAAACCAATAATTATACCATGGAGCAGCACTGGCAAATCTTTCCAATTCTTTAGGAACAAGATCTGCAAACATTTTCTGTTTCTAAGGTTACAAACATGACACAAAAGTAATAAGAACCTTTTCTGATATAATTTGTATAAGATTGATTTCTAAATTTTATTGCCTTTTGCCTGTCACTGCAATGATAATGTTTATGTTCTGTTCTACTGTTTGGGTAGACACTTCATTACTCACTGCACTAATTGAAATCCACCCAAGAAAGATAATGTATTTCAAAGCATTTCAATACCGTCACAGTTTTAAAAGCTAAATAATTTGTATGGAATTTGGTAGTCGTTCACCACTCTGAGTCACTTCAAGGTATGTGTGTGTGTGTGTATATATATATATATGTATATATATATATATATAGAGAGAGAGAGAGAGAGAGAGAGAGAGAGAGCGAGCGGTAGGTTCCAAAAGCTGTGCCTGAGAATATCAAGGGACCTGATGCTGGGTTTTGCATTTGGTATATGACACCTGAAAATGATACTTCAACAAAGAGACAAGATTTCAAATGCTCTGTTACTTTTATATGTATTCACAGGTGAGAGAAGACTGCACAGTAGTCTTATTCTATTTGAGTTCAATATATTCTAGAACAGTGGTTCTCAACCCGGGGGTCGAACAACGTTTTCACAGGGGTCACCTAAGACTATAGGAAAAAACATATTTCAGATGATGTTAGGAACCGAGACACCACTAACATTTTCCTGCCCCCTTAACTTCTCAGAGGCCTCTTCTTCTCCAGTGGGAGGTGGACCATCACTCAGTCCCGTCCCCTCCACCCACTTCACCATTTTAGGAGGAAAAGACAGGAGTGATGGAGGTGAGGTTTGCTTTGGAGTCAAGAGGGAAGAGGGAAGAGGAGCTGGTGGTGGAGGGGAGAAGGTGGGGGGGGGGGGCTAGAGAGGGGGCCAGTGGGGGGGAGGCCAGGGCTTAGCAAGAAGTGGAGCAGCTCCTACATGGCCGAATCTCAGGGAGAAAGAGAAGTAACAATGAAAATACATCCTGCATATCAGATATTTACATAATGAGTCATAACAGTAGCAAAATTACAGCTATGAAGTAGCAACAAGAATAATTTTATGGTTGGGGGTCACCACAACTGTATTAAGGGGTCACATCCAAATTCTAATCCCCTTTTCTATAGCTGAGTTCAATCCTGGAGATGAAGCCCATTCAAATTTGAAAGCAAGTCAATACTACAGTCATATACAGGCCACGGTACTCAGTTAGAAGCCAATGTAAGTGCTGCAATATTTACATTGGCTTCCAACTGAGTACCGTGGCCTGTATAAAATGTTAGTTCTGACCTTTAAAATTCTTTACGGCCAGGGTCCATCGTACCTTAGGCACCACCTCTCCTCTTCCCATCATCGGAGGCCGCAACGACCAGCACAACACGACTTACTCTATATACCAGGTCCTAGAGAAGTGCACTTGGAAAGTACCAGACGCAGGGCTTTTTCTATTTCTGCCCCTGCTTTATGGAATTCCTTGCCACCCTATGAGAGCCATGCGTGACTTAGGGCCTTTTACTCTAGCACTTAAGACCTGGCTTTTTACTAGAGCATTTGATCTATGTTAATTATTAATTTTTGTATGTACGTTTATCTTTTACAATTTAGCTTGTAAATCGCCTAGAGCATCTCGGATGGAGTGTGATTAATAAGTAATTAAATATTATGATGATGATATGATTACAGACAATTCAGTTACATTCAAGAAAACATAGTCAGCAATGTTTAATGAATCATAGTTATTAATAATTCAAAGCTGTAAAAATATATACTGTGGTAGAAAAAAACTACAATGAGGCAACTTACAAATTACATTATGTTGTCCCCCCCACCCCCCGGATTGAAACCTAAATAAATATACATTTTAAGTAGCAAAGCCAATGTGGGTGAAATGTTCTAAACCATTTCAAAAGTGTCATTAAAGTGAGCTGTACTTTGACGCTCAAATTTAGATAACCTATCTGAATTTCAGCTGTCCTCTTTAAACATGTAAAGTGACACACAGAGATACTCATACATCTTGCATTGCAAAATAGCATCTAGGGGCTTGGAAACTTGATATTAATCCTTACTTTGGTTTAATGAACACAAATTATTGGTAGAAATCAATAGAGAATCACATCTAAAAAAAGCTTAGTTCATGCTGCAGAATTAGCATGCTACGGTTGAACACTGTTCAACAGTAAACAGTACAGTACTATTGAAGAAAAACTTTTGAAAGGCAAGCTCAAAGCTGTAAGACCAGTTTTGTGGAACAAATATGTAGCATATTTATGGAGTGATGAAGAAAAAGCGGGATCTCCCATGAAGTTAAAGCAATTCCACATGCAAATTCTAACTACAGCATATAGTCCAGACTGGTGCTAATTTGGAAATATTTTGGCCAATGAAATCTAGAAGAAAACTTTTTTTGCATTCTAGAAACAAGTTTTAAATCAGCCATAAAGCACGTCTTGTCGTAAAGGTATCTAAATAAAGATTTCAGTCTGCCTACATTAAATACCAATCAGGCAAAACTGATGAGTCATTCTGTTTTGTTCACCTGTGCAATACAAAGTAAATTAAATATGCATTGTTGGAGCCAACTTCCTTCACAATCAAGACAAAGGAGTTATGAGATATTTCCAAGAAAAGCATCTTTAGTCTTCAATAGCTTTGTTTTGTTTCATTTATCTTAATATCTACATGATCAAATTCAGACCTCCTGAAGTCCTTAATGTAGACCAATTGACTTTTAAACTACTAGAAAAGCATCCATCCTTGGCATTATTCTTCCATCTATTCAAAAGAGTAGCATTTTATAGGGACATGTCAGGAGGCTGAACGTTATGCCTCTTCACTTCCTCTTGGAATGCCATTTTTCAGTCTTACTTATGTATGTCATTTTTTCTTTATGAAATAAAACTACCCCACAAATCCTTTTCTTTCCAAGTCTGCCTTCTGAAATGACATTGTATTGGTTCAGGTGTTTCTCACAAAAAATGAAAAGTGGGAGATGGGAAACTGAATGATGAGACACCCCCTTACATTTCCTCCTCCCTGTCCCCGTGCATCACAATGAAGCTATAGAGACTGTTCAAGCTTTCTCCTTTCAGCTTCCTCAAGTAGAGCTGGAATGAAAGGAGATAATGATGGAGTAAAAGAGCCCTCTGGGGACTTTTTTTTTTTGTTTGCTTGAG